TTCCTTAAGGATTTGGGATATCCCCACATAGTTACTTCAATAAAACTCTCCCCACTGAGTTAAATTCGTACATCAGAGTTGTAATCTCTTATAAACTCTCTCCAACTGAGTTGGTCTTAGAAAAGAAGCCTCATGGAGTTCTTCCTAAAGAATTCACCTCTCCATTAGGTCGTCAAATATTCTCTTCAACATGGTTTTTTCCCCCAACGAACTACAAATTCCCCAATACAAGTCTTTTCCTTGGACCATTACAAATCAGTGGACAAGACCTCTAATCCCCAACGGGATCGTTACTATCCCCAAAAGTTGATGCGAAGCCTGGAATCCGACCAGATAACAGTTTAACTTCATCTAAGTTGTTGCGAAGCCTGGAATCTGACCAAATAACAATTAACTTCATTAACCTAAGAAAGTTGATGCGAATCCTAGAATCCGACCAGATAACAGTTAACTTCAGGAAGTTGCTACGAAACCTGGAATCCTACCAGATAACAATTAACTTCAGTATGTTGTTACGAAGCCTGGAATCTGATCAAATAACAATTAACTTCGATAACCTCAGAAAGTTGTTGCAAAGCATGGAATCCGACCAGATAACAGTTATGATTTATTTAATTAGAAACCTAAATATAATATAATGGTAGGGCAAATTAGGGGTATGACACCTGAGTCGAGAAACCAAATTTTGGATTCGACATGGTTATCTACAACTACAACCATAACCATCATACCACCTTCAGAATCATCTGAATCTTGGCGTGTAAGGTTCTCTCCTTCGTCCTTGCTTGTCGATCCCTTGTCTTTTATATACCAACAATTCTTGGCTACATGACCCCACTTTTCACAGTTATAGCACTGCACACCTTTTTTTTAATCTTTTTTTCCTTTTCGATAGTTTCCTCTTCCTCCTTTTGAAGATTCAGAAGCTCCATCTTCGACTTAATGCTTGTGAGGTTTCGACCAAGAATTCTTGGCCCGAGTCTTGTCGAATTTGCCTTTGAATTTGTTGAAACCACCATACTTTTCCATGACTGAGCTTGCAGAGCCTGTATCGAGTCTTGCACTCATTTCCTTTCGACAATCCTCATCTCATGCGCCTCTAACAAACCAACCAAATATTCCACTTTAGTGGTTTCAAGATTGTTGGATTCTTGAATAGCTATGATAACATGATCAAAGTGAGAGGTCAATGTTCTCATTACCTTCTTAACTATCATCTTATCAGTTATGGTTTCACCACAACTCTTCATGAGATGGACGGGTTTTTGAACCTTTGACACATATTCTTCAACTTTTTAATCTTCTCCCATCGACAAAAACTCATATTATTGACGCAAGGTTTGTAACTTGAAAACCTTGACTTTCTCACCTCCTTTGTAATACTTCATTGAAATACTCCATGTCTCCTTCGCTGTTTCAGCATGAGAGATTTTGTCTAAATTAGCAGCATCGACCTCCATCTGAATGTAATAAGCAACCTTGCAATCTTTCTTCTTGACTTTGTTGTGGGCTTTTTTCTGTTCATCGGTTGCATTTGCAGCCAATGCAAGAATGTCATTGATAACCACTTCTATGGTTTCATGGAATCCAAACAAGGGTTGCATTTGTTTTTTCTATTAGACCCAATTCTTGTCGTCAAGCATTGGAAGAGAATTCATAATGCCCTTATCACTAGCCATCTTCGTAGCGGTTGATTCACTTGTCCTAGAAACACGATCTCTAACGTGAAATTCTTGAAAACTCGATCAAGAATAATAACTGGAAGCTCTGGATACCAATTTGTTAGTGCGTGAGGCACTTTAGTGGAGAGAGAAAGAGGGAATAATAATAAAGGAAATAAGGATTTATATTATTAAATTGTACAAATAATGATACAAACTAGGATTATTTATATACAACTCTAATTAGGCTTGGGTCTACACAACTTGGATTATATTTAAATATTAAATCTAATCTAATCAAATCAAATCTAATTTAATATTTCAACAGATCAAACATTCACTTCATATTTCATTTGTTTAATTTAGTTCTGATATAGGTTCCTAATCCACTCGGACTTGATTCTTTAGTTCACATGAGATGTTCAAATTATTTCTTTGCTATCATATTTGTCTGTTTGTTAGAATTTTATCTGATGCAGGGATTCTTATTCGATATCTTAATGATACTTTGAAATTTATCTGACACCTTGAGCTTACCTGGTGCACTTTTCCCGCTTGTGATTTATTTTCATCTGATGCGCTTTATCCGTTGTCTGCTTGTGATTTATTTTCACCTGAGGTTTGGTATACTCTTGGCTTATTTATTTGTTTGTGGTTTTAAATTCAAAGGGATGGGAACACTATATTGATTTCTTTATATCAAGTATGAGCTTCTGTTTGATCATATCTACCTTACCTTTTCTTTTACTTTCCTGTACATAGGATACTCTCTTCATCATCCTCTTATTCTTCAATTTTCAAAACCTTCTCATCTTTTTCAAAACCTTCTTTGTTTTCTAAATTCGAACTGCTTTCATAATAAACCCTGACTTTGTCAAGTGACTTTTCTTTTCAAACTTCTTCATTTTTCTTAATCAAACTTAAAACACTTTATAACTAAAGATGTGAATCATATGCAGTTGAGTCTTATGGTGGACTAGTGAGGCGGTGCACTTTGAACCTCACTCTTCTTTCATTTCCGGACTTTATTATGATTCAATTTGCAAATCCTTTTCAAACTAACAAAACATTCAAACTCATTCAAACTTTTATGTGCGCTCGAGCACCTTTTTCTTTTAAAACCTTTTCCAAGATTAAACATGATTCATTTATAGTCGAGATATCATTCTCCTATCCCCATGGTTATAAAGGTGTCAACTTTTCCACTTGAGTGCCAGAGGCGTTTCCAAACCCTCCTCATGTTGACGCACGATCCATCTTTCTCACACCTTGTGAACGATTAGTTGAGATTTCTTTACTAAAAATGACGACTTGTCTCTTCATTTAAAATCAATCAACACACGGTTTTATTCTTTTTAAAAAGAACTACGAGTGCCCTGATCCTTTATTGCACGAAGGGGGTACGTAGGCACAAAGGTTCGCAATTGCGGCGGACGCAATAATAAAAAAAATTCTTTTATTTGTAAATATTCATTCATTCCTTTTAACAAGTTTAAGCTTTAGATAATACACTTTTTAATTAAGAAACCAACAAAGTGGATTCTGCGGAGTATCATAGATGCTTAGGGTGCTAATACCTTCCCTCTACATAACTGAACCTCGTACCTTGATCTCTATTCTATTTTATTTTGGGTTTTGTTCGCTCTTTTCTATTTTCCCTTTGGAAACAATAAAGTGCGCTTGCGACTTTATTGTGTGAGTTAAGTCAACTAATGGCTTAGTCTCAAATTTTACCGCTATATTTTTGCATACACAGTGCGACACACACCACATATATATTCATCCAAAGTTTTAAGGCATCGTGTATATGAGTCATCTCACTTATAAAGTGTTCAATCTTTATTTTTTCAAGAAATATTAAATTTCTAACTCACACTTATTTCTCAACAACCCCCTCCCCTCAAGTGTGAGTTTGACCATTATGCTTCCCCTCAAGTGCAAACTCTTTCATCCACATACATGTACCGTCGGAGACACCCTTACCATATCACAAGAGCTTCAACGGGATATGCCATCTGATCACCACCTTGTCGGGAAGACTTTCGATACAAGGAGTCATTCTCTAACTTGATCCTTTGGCTCTGGTACCAATGATGAATCATCACAAGGGGAAACATCCATATTGTATAGAAGACTCACCCAAACAAGTGAGAGAGACGCCACATATTCTCTCAAAACCTTAAGGTAATGGGTATACAAGTCATCTCACCTATAAAATGCTCAACCTCCACCTTTCCAAGTAATATGGTACTTCCAATATCATTGTCTCTAGAAAATGGATTAAGATTGTTTGCTTCTTCACTTCTCACAACTCAAAATTGTGGTTTTTGAAAAACTTCTTGATATCCCATTTATAATCTATTGCATTCGCTTGTAAACTTAAACCCTTATGTTTCACGGTGGATGCCATTTGTTGTGAAATAGAAATAATTCAAAAGTCAAACACTCCAAAAATAGCGATGTGTGGGACAAAGAATATTGCCAACCAAATTTAATGGCTTCAGGCATAAATTAAACTTCTAAGCACAAATTAATCTTCTAAACATTGTACACAAATTCACAAGAAAGAGGAGAAAATAAAAGTCAAGATGAATATAAACCGGCTAGGGTAACTCTGAATTAATTAAATGTCAATTTTGAATATAATCCGGCTAGGGTAACTCTGAATTAATTAAATGTCAATTTTGAATATCAAATGTAAACAAATTTAAACATTCACATCAGTGTCCTAATCAAATGTTATATTTAAAAATTAAAAAAAATTTGGTTCTAAAATATTGACAAAGTCGTTTTGGAATCAGCTCAGAATTATGGAACTTCATAAGTTGCCAACATGTTGACACATTCTGTTAAAATAACAAAATCATTTCATAGAAAAAAATCAAACTTATGGCATACTCCATGCCACTAGTCTTTTGCACATTTTTTTTCTTTTGAATGTGATTAGACCATCTCTAACGGGAGGAAGGTTGTCTTGGTTGAGCTGGATTAGAAATACTAATTTTAAATATTGGAGCAGGATTATATAACTATTTTTAAATAAAATATAAACCATATACTAAAATTTTAATTCTTAACCTCCAAGATATGAGTTTAGACTTTTCTACTTATGAATTAAATACTACATTATTCATCTTCCCTCTTCCTCACACAAAACGAATCTTCAATTTATTGACTTGACTTTACCATATATAGTACACCTCCTCTCTCTCATTCACTCATTGTACTAAGTTGTTAATTTTCCTTTTTTCCAAGCCGGCAACAACGAACTTTATTTTGTTTTCTATTTATTATATTATCTTCTTCACTTTGGTAACACCATATGTATTATTAACCAGAATGGGAACTTGCTCTGAATATTTTGAGAAATTCACATGGAGAATTGAAGATTTCTCTAAAAAGAATGGCATGAAATTTAAGTCCAAATACTTCAAAATCCGTGGTTATACATGGTACGTGTATGTATATCTTTTGTATTTTGTTTAAACTTATGATATATGTGAGTTGAGACAATAACTATAGGACAAAATAATTGTGTATTTTAGTTTATGGAATTACTTATAGTTTTTAGTTTATATCAATCATATCTTATATATGTCTTCTTCATGTGATAGGAGGATCCTTGTTCACCCACTAAGGAAGGATGTTGATCATTTTACATTTTATTTAATGGTTGCTGATTCTTTACCACCATATGGATGGAATAGAGACACTTTTTTCAAGTTGGTTCTAATTAATCAGCTTGATAAGAACAAGTCCATTGTAAAAGGTAACAATTTATAACTTCATTTTCCTAATTAATATTTTTTGGTGTTGAATTTAAGGCTAACTTTTTTACATGCATATTTGATATTATTTAGAAACTCAACAAAAGTTTAATGGAGGACATAGATGTTGGGGTTCATTTTTCCTAAATCTCAAAGACTTCAATGATCATAAACAAGGTTATCTTGTAAGGGACACATGCATAATTGAAGCTCATATTTGTGTCTCCAATTTTACACCCAAAATTCATGACATCAATTCTTTGAACCCAAATTCTACTGACCAATCCTCCGATGCAAGGGAAACGGTTTGTCCAAGAACATCGGCTTCTACTTCGAGTCCAAGAACATCTAGTTCCGATTTATCACTAAGAGAACTTCTAGATTTGGAAAATTTAAAACCCGAAGAAAAATGTTTTGTTCCACTTTTAGATGAAATTTGCACGTGGCGTCCGTCTTTGATAGAGACTTTGATGAAAAAATCTCCATTGTTTCGACAATGGGCATTAACGTCGTTAGGTCAAGTATTACATTTTCTTAAGACGAAGAAAGTGAAAGATATGAATGAAGATGATGTCGAGAAAATTAGAAGTTTGTGGGAGGAACTTGAGAAATCGTCGGAATTGGACTTGAGTTGGTTAGAGCCTTATGTTCAATCTGCTTTAGGTGTGAAATCTCATATAGAGAGAGCAAAGAAATTGAAAAAACTAAAGGATAAAGTTGTTGCTTTGGATATAAAAATGAAGAAGCTTAGGGATGAATTGGCTGCTTCACAAGCACAGTATGCGATTGCAAGGAAAGGCTTATCAGAAGTAAGAAGTGGTTTCCAAGAAATGAGTATTAATGCTCCAATTGGTTATACAATGTTATAGTGATTAGTTTTGGATTAACAAATTTATTGAAATGTTTAAGTTTTACTTTTAGAACATGATTATCATTTAAATTCTTTTGATGTAGGGGGAAGTTTTAGTTGTACAAATCATGGAGAAACACTATATATACCTTTGTGCATACATTTATTATTGGTTATTTTTCTGTTTTATTTGTGTATATAAAAAATCTTGAGATAAGCAATAATTTAGATGTAAATATAATCTAATCTAACATATTGAAATATGTTGATCTAATATTTTATGTCTGAGATGTCGACTATGAAAGCAATCAATCTACTACAATATTTGATGAGAAAATCGAATGGACCAATAAGACTTGCATTTAGTTTTCATTGACTTGGAGAAGGCGTATAATAGAGTGTCGAGATAGTTTTGTTGAAAGCCCTAGAGAATAAAAGGGTTAGAATTACATATATTCGAGCTATCCAAGATATGTATGAAGAGTATCGACCAGTGTGCATACATAGAATGGAGAGACAAATTATTTTCCCATTAGAATAGGTTTGCATCAAGGTTAAATCCTAAACCCCGTACCTTTTTACTTTAATTTTGAATGCACTCTCAGAATATATCCAAGTGGTAAACCGAGATGCATGCATTTTGCGGATGATATAGTCTTATTTGGAGACTTGAATGAGGATTTAAATGAGATGTTGAAGACTTGGAGATGAGTTTTAGAAATGCATGGCTTTCGCTTAAGAAGAAGTAAGACGAAGTCTATGAATTGTAAATTCAGCAAATGGAGAAGCATTTCTAACTAGAGGTGGAAGTTGGAGACCATAACATGCCCAAGTCATGCACTATAAGTATCTTCGGTTTGTAATACAAAATGATGAAGAAATAAAATGAGGTGTAAACCATTAAATTCAAACTGGATGGATGAAATGGAGGAGGACTTCAAGGATTTTATGTGACACTAAGGAGCCACTTGAGTTGAAGGCACTATGCCAAAGAAGGGATTAGACAACGCTTTTTTTGGGCTTAGACGGTGCTTTTTTTGGGCTTAGACAACGCTTTTTTTGGGCTTAGACAGCGCTTAAAAGCGCTGCCTATTCCAGTGCTGCTATAAGTAAAGCCAGCACTTTGGTTAAATGAGAAAGTGTTGTCTAAAGCACCCCTTTAGACAACGCTTTTACTTTAGATAACGCTTTTGGTTATCTTTTAGGCATCACTTTAGATAGCGCTCTGTCTGTAAAAGCGATGTCTAAATCCCCCCAAAGCGCTGTCTAAAGCCCCCTTTAGGCAGTGCTTTCACTTTAGACAATGCTTTTGGTTATCTTTTAGACAACACTTTAAAAGTGCTGTCTAAAGCCCCCTTTAGGCAACGCTTTCACTTTAGATAATGTTTTTCCTTCAAAGCATTGTCTATTCCCCACTTTAAGTAGCACTTTTTATTTGAAGCGTTGTCTAATGTCCACGAAATGTTTATATATATAACTTTAGAAAAGCACTGCCTGATATATACAATAAATATGCATCATATTTTGCATTAGAATATGCATTTAGAATTTGCACCAAATTTTCATAAATTAGAGCTTCAATCCAATAAATATGCACCAAATTTGCCTATTTATATATACATCTTTAATCCAATAATTTATATATACAAAAAATTGATGATACAACTGGAAAATTCATATATCTTGTTAGCTACAAAAAGTATGATATTCAAGCTAAAAAACAACAACAATGAACTTGTTAGCTCTATCTTCTACATCTGCACATATAACCTGAAACAAAACAACAACAAAATTATATAAAATATAGAAGAAAACAAAGAAGGCATTGTTCTTATCTGATATTCAAGCTGCAAGCATTGCCAAATCTGCTATTCAAGCTGCAAGCATTTCCCAAAATGTCAACAAATGAACATGAGCTATTGAATATTTCCAAGTGCCTATGAAAATCAGTATATGATTCCAACCTTCTATGGCCAAGATATCAATTAATATTTGACATCACCAACACAATTTATGATTCCAACCTTCTATAACAAACAACAATAACATTGCAACACAATTTACTATACTAATAACGACATATTATCTCATCAAAACTCAAACTTATATATACTCAAAATTCTAATCAATGAAAGAAAGACAATATACCTTATAAAATTCTCATAAATTTACTATACTTTGCTCTTTGGAACTTGAATATATCATTGTGATCGAAAAACTTGTATAGCGCTAATAAAATATAAACAAATATTTAGAACATGTCACATAAATAAATAAATAAATATACACACGAATATTTAGAACAATCTCACTTACGTATCGACCAACTTCTTCATATATGGATATGTTCTTTGATCGTTGTGTAAAGAATCCAGATAATATACAATTTATCTTATCGGATTAATTGTGACCAACAACCAATGTCCATTGTAAGATTAAACTAAGGTTAGATGGAAACTTTCTACACAACGTCAAAAAACGAAAAATTATAATAGATGAAGTTAGAATGAAAATCTAACCCATTACCAGTATTATATGGTAAAAAGTATAACTTTTTTGTATCTTTGTTGGCCATAAATAAATGGAGTACATACTCCATGACCGTTGGCTCCTGAATTCGACACTTATTATATATTGGCCTTATAGGCCAAAAATAGAACAGATAAAGCCAAGCTGAAAAAAACTTAGAGGAAATAGCTAAGTTACAAATTGGTCTTCGACCAAACCTCACCATCAGGCCTTTGACGGGAAAAGTCCTATGGCCTTCAACTAGAGGAACAAACCTTCATGTCAGCACCTAAGACGAAGGATATTTGGATTTGAGTATTGGAGGGAAATGCAGTTTGCCAGCAGTTAAGGGAAAGGGACGTGGCAGGAAGATAGGGGTCGAGGGACATGCAGAAGACATTTGTCTTCCTCCTAGAAGCCAAGCCACCCTCGACAGTTACTTGATTTTAGTATAAAACTAGGAAGTTTGTGTAGAGTTTCTGTGTGTTCAACCTATTGTGCTAGTTACTCAAATATTATCCAAGTACCCGCTGTGTGTGAAAGGATAAACTGAGAAATGTACGTTGGAAACACCACTTTTCATTAATAAAGTTTTTTTTACATTGCTTAGATCTTATTTTGGCAAAGTTACTTTTCCTGCATCTTTACCTGCATTTCTATTAACTTTCTTACTTTCCAAAACCACAAGCATCTTATCTTTGGTCGAACGTGCGTTCTTCCTAGATATCTATTTTTACATCAAACCAGCATAAAAGTTAGCATATGTTCTGGGATCTATATGATCGATCATGCGAGTAACCAAAAGGACTTTCCTTTTTGGAGGATCAGCGGTTGTTTACCAATAACCACGATAAACAAATTGGCACACCTGATGGGACGTTGCTAATTTTTATCACATATTTTGTTCATGTTATTGCTTTCCTTTTGTATATATACAATGTTGCATGTTATTAAGAAGTGATAAAATAACCAACGAGTGTACTGTTAGGAAGAAAAATAACGAAAGTAGAATGGCTAATGAGCCAAATCATGGAGAAATACCTCCACCAAATACTACTCGAACAACGGTTATGACTACCATTGGAGAAAATATCTCAACTGTTGTTGGTTCAGTACCAACGTTAACCATAAATCAAACAGGACCCTTACTTTCGTATGTGGGTCCTAGAGGTCCTTTAGGAACGCCCCCACCAAGGGAAATGGCTAGCCTTATGAACGCTGCGTCTACTTTCTCAGAACCTATGGTGAGTGCGTCATCACCATTACAGGGATCTGGAGCCAGTATGGCAAATTTGGGTAGAAACCAGATTTTAGGGGGACCACCACATGCAATACCAAGCCTCACAAATGCTTCTACAGCAATTTTGAGGCAACAGATGGACGAAAGCAACCATGATATGGTGCAAATGTTGGCATAAATTTAGGAACGCCCCACCAAGGGAAAATCCAGGATCTCGACCATACATTCCCCCAGGATTCTCGACAGTCTGGATGGGTCGAGAACAGCCATATGGCATGCCAACCACTGAAATGGCTAGCCTTATGAACGTTGTGTCTACTTTTTCAGAACCTTTGGTGAGTGCGTCATCACCATTACATGGATCTGGATCCAGTATGGCAAATTTGGGTAGAAAGCATATTTTAGGGGGACCATCACATGCAATACCAAGCCTCACAAATGCTTCTACAGCAATTTTGAGGCAACAGATGGACGAAAGCAACCATGATATGATGCAAATGTTGGCACAAACTTTAAGTACAGTGCTGAACCCCCTGATTCAAAATACTACCCAGTCGAATCAACAAATGGCAGCGCAAATGACATGCATGACTGAATTCTTTGGGGTACCCCAAACTATTCGACAACCCCAGAGAATACCAATAAGAGTAAACCAAGGGGTAATCATGGAAGAGGATTTGACTGTTAATCAAAATCCTCATATCCCTAGAGTAGGAATAGAACAACCTAGGGTCGAAATACCTCAAAATCCCCCACCAATCCCTAGAGAAATCGACCAAGGGGTGATTATGGTGAATAGGAACCAAAATGATGATGAATTGATACAGCAAGTTCGACACCAAAATTATGGAACAGATAATAATCTGACTGCCATGATCGAAAGGATTATGATTCAGAATGGGATGAACGTGGGTTTTCACAGACCAAACTTCACATCCCCATTGTCAGAATATATTCTACAAACAGACTTACCCCCTAGGGGAAAAGTTTCCAAGTTTACCAAATTCTTAGGGGATACGACAGAATCTACTGTCGAACATGTGGCGGGATATTTGATAGAGGCTGGGGAAATAGCAAACAACGAAAACCTTAGGATTAAATATTTCCCAAATTCTCTAAAAAAGAATTATTTTAATTGGTTCGCTACCCTCCCAGCCAATTCGATCCACAATTGGAATCAATTGGAAAGATTGTTCCATGAACAATTTTACATGGGACAGACCAAAATAAGTCTAAAAGAATTGGCTAGTGTGAAGAGAAGATTCACTGAG